TATTCTGAGTAGATCTGTTATCAAAAACGCTTAATAGCAGGTCGGAAAGTTTGTCCAGGTTCAGTTTTAGGTGCTGTGCATATTAACCCACGCTGCCGTCTGTATGTCGAGTGATGCAACCTTAAGAGCATTGCAGCAGACAATGTAGCAGTGAGCTCACACACACTCAACATCCCTGTGAAGTTTTACTCCAAACTTTCTCTGGCCTCTGGTTTGGTCTACTCAAAGATATGGCATAAAAACAAACAGGAGCGCTGTCGTATACCGTTAAATCTGTACTCCTCCACTTTGGGGAGAGAAACTTGAGCTTGGCTGTGGTAAGGCACCATGTATCAATGATGGGCGGCAGGTTGGGGGGAGGATAATGTCTGTAGGTTAAGTAAAAGTGAGCAAAGTCCCCCCCCACAAGATTCATTGGTCATCCATCCCTGGGTTAGAAAGTGACACTTGGGTAAACACACACTGGTGTGTTGTATGTATTGTGTAAACAAGCGTGATGTACAATATCCATGTTTAATAGCATAGAAAGTTGGGATCTACCTGGCGAGTCTGTGTCTCAGACTTATGGCTTCAAAGTAGAAAACAGGTGCAGACCTTTCATGGCTAATCAACTAGACAAGAAAGATTTAAGGGACAGGAAGGTACTTGAAAGTTCTGGAGTGTTTCTACATCGCCGTGATTAAAGGTCAATGTATTTCAGCTTTGTTAAAGTGAAAGAGTCTAGGTACTAAGATGAGTAGGGTTTAGTCTGGGTTTCAGTAGCTGCACTAACACTGCAAGCAATAAAACGTCAAAGCCTGTCATTTACAAGAATAAAGGAAAGTGACACTGAAACTGACGAACAAGTTTCCAAGGTCTGCTGTGATTTTCATTCACGAGGAACAGTTCTTTCTGCAGTCACTTCCACAACAGACATGCAGGTAAATGGTCTGTATTTACATAGCACTTTTCTAGTCTTGATGACCACTGCCATTGACCCATTCACACACACATTCATACAGTGCATCTATTAGCAGCACATAAATACACTGAACATGCATTATTACCACAAATTAGATAAGAAGGTGGAAACCTCTCTCATGTCTGTCTAGAAGTAGCTATATAGCTGGAGCCAGCATGTTGTTTTTTCACTTGGGATTTTGTAAATATTAAAGAATTTGTAGCTGCCAGGCAAACTCCGACACAGTCACCACCCAACTGCCTCCCAATAAAAAATGTACACACATATTTGTATTAAAATACACAAATAATAGTGTTTATTGGTGGGTTTAAGAGGTTTTGTTACCCTCAGACTAAGCTCAGCTAGCCATTTACCCATTTCCAGCTTTTGTGCTAAGCCAAGGAAGCTACATGTCTCCTGGTCAAACATGAGAGCTGTTAATCAATCTTCTTATTTAACTCTCAATTGTATTTCTAAAAATTTGAAACTACTGAATTATGTCTGCCTTTAACAATTAATGGTTAGGTTAAAAAGGCAACATCAGAGCAGTAAGACGTTCATGGTTTGTGAGTTTCTAATTGCAGAGTCGATGCTCAGAAAGGGTTATGGCTTCACTTTGTGTCATTGAAAGCGCACTGGCTTTCATGGCTATTCTACTACATACAGACACACTAGAACAGTTACATAGAGGCGTGATTCAAGGTTTCGGCTCGGATTATGGCCACACGTCACAATAAGACAGTCAAGGTAAAAGTCCCGTTGGATATGGCTATAACAACGCAGAGCAGCTGAAGGCAATGCTTGACACTGAAGTTCAGGTAGAAGATTAAAGAGCTGCAGAAACACATGCGAGTTACATGAGTATAAGGACAGCGCAACAAAAAGGAGCAGAGTCTGTCAGTAGAGGAGATATTTGATTGGGAACCGATAACAACAAAAAGAAGGAGTCTTTTTTGGCAGTAACTGTTGCACAAGATAAGAAGGGAGCTCTAAAGGAAAGGTTGAGATATCTGCAATTTCACTTGTCTTGTGGTCCAAGTGTGAGGCAGATTGTGGCTGCCGAGGGTCTGATCCACATGCACAGTTGCCATGGAAATTCCTCCATCCTTTGAACTGCCGTGACTGAGGATCCCAAAAAGCCAGACAAAAATACTATGTAAGTGCGCACAGAGCAGCGGCATCAGTGTGTGAGTGCAGTACGTCATCCTCAGGGTGTAAATGCTAAATGCCATGAAAAAACTGGACTAGAAGACTGGACTCCTCAGCTTCTCCCTCAACACAGCAGATTGTAGTGAACTTTCAAGCACCAGTGTGAGGGGGAATGGCAATGACAGAGCTCCCACATTAATGTCCTGGATGTGGGAGCAGGAGATGGAGCTCTGGGGTGGTGGGGTGGGGAGAGTCTTACTGTCTGGGTCCAAACATGGTGATGCTGTGGGCGGCTGCACTCTATGTCTTTTGAGGGTCTGGTGAAATGGGGCCGGGCGTGTTGGTCCCATCTGTGCTGTGTACAGGGATCTGGAACTGGGGGGTGAGGACCGACGGAAACTGGAACAGGTGGCCTCCCTGGCGCCGTGTGGCTGGGCTGAGTGGAGCGACAGGACTGAGCGTGCTCCAGAAGTGGATGTTGGACAGCAGAGGACTGGGAGTCAGCAACAGAGTGGGAGTCTGAGGAGGAAGACATACAAGAAAGACTCATGTCACTTTCATTACAATGTGAACAATTTACATTTGCTTACGAATCGTCTTAATATTGTTAATACGTTTTACTTGGTAACTATAGGCCACAAAATCCCAGTATCCCTTGGGCTCTAGCATCTATGAGAAGTATCAACACCATTATAACCCTGGTTCCCAAGAATCACTGTCTACAACTGTCATTTGTTCAGACACTTAAATACATGTGGTGGTGTTGAGCCCACTTACAGCTCTTGGAGAGCCAGTAAGCCATTTAGAGTTCAGGGGATAGAGGTAATCTTTGCAGATAACAAACTACATGTTCAAGTCCATACATCTTGTGTGAAAGATCACATTAATTCACGTGCTCTATGACCTCCGTCAGTGACAGAGGAACCTTTTGCAAGTAGTTTCTGAAGACCACAAATCAAATGGATCCACATAACTATCCCTTCTTATAGCAATGTTAGTAACATCCAATTTTCTGATGATGTGCTACTTTAATTAAAAATCATCTAGTTTGGTGTCAGTCATAACAGAAAGGAACATCAATCACTAATCTATAATGAGCAGACCATTCCACCTATATAAGGTAAAAACAACCTGTGAACAACAGGATACTATACATATGAGATTGTACCTCTACACAATGGCCTATACAGCTTGTTTAAGCGCATATTTGATTTTAATGATGCATTACATGCAAATGTACACACACACGCAAACACAGATGATTGCATGTGATCAGAACAACAAAGTACATCACAGGCCTTTGAATAAATATTAGATTTCTCACCCGTCACATTTAATTGCACTAGGTCTGTAATCACTTATATATGTATATTCTAGGTTTTAGTGGAATTCTTAAACGAATCATAATGTCACTAACTGGGTCAAATTTGAAGATACTGAACACAAGAGTAATTGACACGCTAGTAAAAAGTTTTATCAACATGAATTTGTTTTGATCATCAAGAAACCAACTCAACAGCCTCCTCCTATATGACCAAGAGACACTACTTTCAGTCAGTCACTGACGAAGAAGAGAAATCACACTGGAACTCCTGGCTCTCTGAGCTGTGGATCCCATGACTGAAGCTGCACTGACCTACTGCAAACAGACAGAATAATATACAACACTATCGGAATCAGCAGATCTAATAGACGCAGACATTTGCACAGTAGCTAATAGTCATGTGTCTATAAACAGCATCAGCAGGATTAAATTAAACAACAAAACTAGACCAAACAGCAAAGCATCAAAGGATAAATGCAGCTCTGCTGCCACCTACTGGTCACAAACACTAAATGCTGTTCTCTATGCAAAACCTATTCTTGACTGTTTAATTTACTGTTTGATGTTTTTCTATTTACCTACAGTCTAAGTTTACTCTACTAAGTAAGAGGTCTAACCGCTTCACCACAATACAAGGAGATGCACATAATTGCATGGTAAACACTTCAGCAGTTAACACTGAGCTTTGTTAAATAAATTATTTGTTAAAAAATCTGGTAAAACAAACTTTTTATATGCAGCTCTGCAGCTGTTTCTGGACATTCAATGATCGTCTAATGGCATGATAATTTTAAGGTGTCAGGAAATTAAATAAAAAAGAGGACACCTCATATCATTCAAACAGTACAGTCAAAGCAAACTATGCTATAAGACATCAAAAAAGTTATGAAGTAAGAGGATGCCCCACTGTTAAGTCTAAGCTTGAAATTATGATATTTCATTAAAAATCACTGAATTCTTTTCTATTTGCCGAATCTGTAAAGACACAATTCTGTGATCTCAGCTAAGAAGCCATGTGTAATGTGACACAAACAGTCACATGACAAAAATGATGCCACAATCATTCACACAAGGACGTGAGTATATTTTATCATAAGATCTCAAAGATGCAGAAATAATTATATATGTAGAGCACATGAAACCCCAATTTGTATATTTCAATTAACACTCAAAATATTTCATTTTATTTTAGTTGTTTTTAAATGAGTGATGTAGCATTATAAACGGGACATTTTTGATGTCTGTGCTGCTTCCATAAAGATTGCAGGACTTTACATTGCAGTGAGCCACAGTCAGGACTGCAGACAATATGTTGTGCTTCTCACAAATGATTCAGGCTACTGCTCGACAGCAGGTGCTCTGTGGAATGGATGCTGCCATGTTGACAGAAAAAGTGTTTACATGCTGTGGCAGAAAGAAATTGGGCCATTTGATTGTCTTACTGAGCACCAAGCTACATGCTTTCAGCTACAGAATTATACACACATTGCACAATTTCTTCATTATCAACATGTTCAATCTAGTCGAGACAGGTTTTGTGGCGCTAACGCGATTCTCTCCCTCATGAGCCTGAAATGAAATGCTCACCAAATCAGCATTTCAATCTTCTGTCAAGTTCATTCATATTCGCGTGAGTTGACACATTGACTTTTCTGCTGTTGCTTTCAAGTGCCGTCTTCACACACATCACTCTTGCAAACTGGTATCATGAAATGTTTTAATGTTTTTAACAGTCTGATCACTTTACCCAACTGTCCAACTATTTCATTTTCTTGCTGCTGTGTTTGGTTTTTGTTTAAGTGTAACCTCAAGTAAAATTCTCTTCAAAACCTCAGGAAAAAGACCCCACTCACCTGTAGCATTGCTGGTGTGAGAGAGGCAGTAGGTAGTGAGGGGCTGCAAAGGTTCATGGGGGAGAAGTCGGATGTGGTGACCAGCAGAGCAGGTGGGCTGATCTGCAGGATTTTCGGCGGCTTGCGTGTCTTTGCTAAGCTCTGAGTGCTGAGTGTTGTAGAGCTGCTCACTGAGGATGAACTGGTTTCAGCATCCACAAAACTGATCTCATCTCCAGACAGAGCGATGCTGCTGTCCACCTGCTGGACACAGAGAGATACTTGTCATACTCTAAAATATCTGTGGATATACATAAGAAAAGTATGTGTTTTAGGCAGTGTACACATTTTACACGTTAAAAAAACAGTCAACCATAATAGTTCTGTTTGTGAATATGCAGAGTGTGTGGAGGAGAGACAAGACTAGGGGCAGGAATCCTTCTGCTCTGGGTTTCTAGTTTGACCAATCACATCAGCAAAAGAGGTGGAACACATTGACCAAAATGTGTCACGATCTACTTTTTAATTTATCTGCAATTATATGCAAATAGCTGGTAATAGCAATAAGCCAAAATCTTGTTTGGACCTAAAATTGTTGTTAGTGTTTTTGTTAAAAAATTTCAACTCATGTTACAAAGAAACTAGTCAAACTGTAAACAGTGTATGGCAGTGGAAGACAGAGTCTGGTACACTGTCTGTCTATCTGCTGACTGCACTAAAAATATTGTTTGTTGCTGTTTCAATTGGCTCCAAATTGATGCTGTTGTAACCCAATCACCTTAAGATTGGTCAAGTGGTTAATTGTGAGATGCTTCTATGCTCACCATAGAGGTGGTTGTATGAGTTACAGTAGCCTTTCAGCTACCGTCAGCGCCAACCTCTCTGATCCTTCTCCACACTAATCAACAAGGTGTTTCTGCCTGCAGATCTACTACTCACTGGGTTTTTTTGAGTTATTGACATTCAACAATGACAACAATCATGTCAAAGTCACTGAGATCAAATTTTTTATCATTCTGATGCTTCATTAATTATTTATTAATTGAAGCTCCACCAATTATATACACTGAACTGCTGCCACATGATTGGCTAGTTGGTGAGTATATCTTTCACAGGAGTTGGTGGAGACAAACAAAGAGCTAAAAGTTGAGTAAATAAAAAGGTGATAATGAATCAGTGTTTTGTTTGTTTCTGTTGCTTCTACGTGGAAAAAAGAATTGATGGTGATTTACAGACTTAGCTATTATTTATTGGGAGTTTATTTGGCTTTATCATTCATGTATGTTTAGATTTAACTGACACTGGAAGGTAAGGAAATCAGATTCAAATGTGAAAAGTTGCAGAGCGCACACAGTTTTTTGAACTTTTGGTGTTGGATCATGTGAGAAGCTGACAGAAAATATTGTCTCAGGGACAATTAATTATTGTGTGTGATGTGTTTTTATGTATATTTGCCTTCTCATGTGTCTGAGCGTCTCTCAGCTCTGGTGCCTGAGCATCTGCGGGCTGAGATGATCCAGACTCGATGTCGCTGTCAATTACCAGTTCATGAGAGGAGTCAGGCACTAAGCTTGGTGATGGGCTGGCAGACGTCAGCTCTGATAAGCTGAACGTTGGTTCTGATGGGCGGATGTGTTCAAATGAGTAGACAGATTGGGGTGGCAGGGAGGAGTGTGTGCTGATTTCTTCAACCTTCCGGGGCGGAGCTTGCAGAGGATTGAAGTGGTTGGACAAAATGGTTGGCTCTATGGCAACCTGAGGAGGCGGTGCTAGTGCTGGTTTTGGAGGGGTGTTTCCAAACTTGATGACTGATGGCAAAGCAGTTGGCTGTTGTGGCTGGCTCTGGGCTGTGGCGGTGAGACCCCTCTTGTCTGCCATCTTCTCTGCTGGGTTCTCCATTTTGATGGACTTGAAGAGCTGGCGTCCATTTTGTAGCGAGTTGAGTGTGAAGGACGTGTACAGGCCAGAGTGGATGTAGTCGTTACGGTTTGACTGCTTGGTGCTTGAGCCCAGAGCCCCTGTGTTACCTCCTACCTTGGCTCTGTCAACAAGCTCCCCCTCCTGTAGGGTGCTGTCCCTTCTTGTTAAGGGTGAAATGCCCCCAACACCCACATCCCCACTATCTGGTCGGGTAGACACATCTCCTTTCAGGATTTCAGGATAGGACACAAAGCGATAGACAAACTTCTGACCATTCACTTTCTTTATGATGTTCTGCAAGAAACAGAAAACACATGTCAGAATATATGTTAGTGGAATGGGCTTAATTAATGCTGCAAAATTACATCAGAATGATGGTCATTAGTGAGTCCTACTGAAACAGTTCTACAATATACTGTCACTTTTTTGTTGTTTTTATGTTGTGGTCTATGTTGCAAGTTAGAAAACTTCTACATTCTTTCTACCTCGTTTATTTGCAGTTAAGATTTTATAGTCAAAGGTTTTCATAGAATGAAACTGAATGATTACTGTTCATACTGTTACTGGTTTCATGCATTGCATGTCCACTATTTCAGAGGTCTATTAATCAATCAACACAATCGTCAGACCCACTTTTACAACTTTTCAAAATAAAACGTTCTGTAATTCCACTCAGTAAAGCACATTAGAGAAACAAAAGGAATGCTGTGCTTTTACCTTTATGATAACTTGCCAAAAAGGAAGTGATTCTATGAATTTTCCTGCGATGACAGAGATCTGTGAATGTCAGTCCTATATGGTTGTGAAAATGACATGGTTGCGAATTTGACCCCTGGTTTGACACTGTTGCCAACCACTGTTGTAGTTTATCCAAGGAAGACGACGAGGAAGGAAGACTTTCCTAATCGCACCAAAATCAGTACTGCATTTTCTTGGGCAATTTACAATACATATGCCAACTGTGAAACCAATAAGATGAACTGTTCGCAAGATGTGCATTCTACATACAGACAGACTTAGTAGATAGATATAAAAAATGAAAAAAGGAGTACATCATTTAAAGAATGATGTGAAAGCAAGCACACAGCGAGAGCAGAAACAAGACTGTAGTATGTGTCTACCCAAGAAGCACTACAAGTAAAATAGAAAAGGGGAGACCACAGAAAAGTGTTACGGGTGGGACAGCGCTGTCCTTCCTGTCTGTACCAAAACAGCAGCCACTAATGCTGCAGCCACACATACCAAAGCAGCCCTGCCCAGAACGCCCACAGGGTTAGGCGGTACTTCTGCCAAACCACAAGCAGACTGAGAGACAGACAGCACTCTCCCTCTCTACACATGTCACTAAGCAATGAACCTGAACCATTCTGGTTGTTTGTGGGAATGACGATGTAGAGCTCAGGCTACAGTTGACTAATGGTTGGACATTTCCTTTATTTACCACAAGGTAGATTTGTATTAGAGGAAGGTCATTTTAATTCCTTCTGTTTGATGAGAATAATTGGTCAGACCTCCTTTTGATCAGCTACCACTTGCCCCATCAGTTACTGCAATATCCTGTCAATATAAACAACACTTCCTTTAATTTTTTTAAATTAAAAAGCCCTCAAGCATTTTATTGGATACACACCCGTAACTTTTTTTAAAGGGCTTTTATAGTAGAACAACGTAAATTGTATGTTACTGCAAGTTGGCTATGGCAATATCATCTATCTAAAGAGACTGAACCCAGGAAATATTACTTTGCTGTTCTGGATTACACATCTGTGTGTAAGATTTAGGTGAAAAGGAACTATTACGTAGTTGTCTTTACCCCAGAAAAGGCTCTTTATATTCAAATAATTTACATTAGTCCAGACTGGACAAACTAAATACCTTTTGAGTTTTTATGACAATTTAAGGCTACCACAGTTTCTTTTTCATGTTTGGAAGGAGAGGGTTAGGTGAGGGGTGTTCAGCTGCAACATACAATTTCAACACTCGATCACAAAATTCTACACACTGTACCTTTAAAGGCCTAGTTCAACCAAAGATGAAAATTCACTCATTATCTGCTCACCATTATGTCGATGGAGCAGGTGGGTGAAGTGTTTGAGTCCACAAAACACTTTTAGAGTTTCAGGGGTAAACAACATTGTAGCCAAATCCAATATACTGCTCACGTGGGGTCACCCAAGTGTTCAAATTCGACTTGAAATGAGAACATTTACATGTTTTTAGCCTAAATGCTCTCTGATATCTTCCTTTGGAGCAGCATTCGTGCTTGGATCACAGCAGACACTTAGGCCTAGTGTAACATGGTGTAAATTACGCCGTTTCGAGTCGAAATTGAATGTCGGAGCTGACGAACACCAGAGGAGCAGTATGGAGTCATTTTATGTTTTTTGTGGACTCAAACACTTTACCAACCCTCCATCGGCATAGTGGTGAGTAGATCATGAGTGAATCTACATTTTTGGGTGAACAATCCCTTTAAGGGTTACATTTAGGAGGGTTATATTACTGAAATAATTGAAATTGGTAGATTGATTGATTTTCATTATTTATTTAACACATTATGTGCCCACCCTTAAACAGGCTTACAAGACACAGCTATTTATAAAAAGAAAACCTAGAAGAAATAATGAAACCAGAATCAATAACAATACTAAACAAATAAACCATTCTGACTTTTTCCATAAGATTTAGAAATAAAGGTAGCCAACTAATGAGCATCAAAATTAATCTTTTATCATCATTTCTAGATTTTGAACCAGCAACCATGTAATTTTGTTATTCTTAACTCATAATAAGGGCAATAAAGAAGAAACTGTGATTCATTCTCAACTTCTGTTAATTCACACAACCTGTTTTTAAATCTTCCAACTTCTAGGGCCAGAGGAAAGACTTTTGAATCCTCAATAAGTTTGTAAAATAAGATTCATTGCCATAGAAATGTGGTAGAAATGTCAATAATGCTTTACTGCCGCAGGCACATACAGACATAACAGTTTATCCACCCTTGTTTTTTTCCTGGCCTGTATTTGAGGGCCAACCTTTGTTTGTTTATGTCGACCGTGCCCCTGGCAGAGACCCAGCTGTTTTCAGTTTTTATTTGAGGATATGTAGCAAGTGGTGATAGTATAGGAACTGTTCTAGTTACCTGACAAAGGGCCTGATCTACTAAGATCCCAAATAAAGAGTGCTAAATTGCGTGTGCATTATAATAGATTGCCAGTTTGGTTGGTGGGCGTTTTGTGGGTGATCTACTAAAAATAATTGTGTAAATGATAACAGGTGCAAAGGTTTTGCTTGCGTTACTGGTTTCTGCAATGGAGCATTAGGGAGAGCAGAGTAGGGCTGTCAAAATTGCTCCAAAATGATGTTCGAATATTCGTTCTAAAAAAACACATAGGTTCGAACAATCCGAATATATGCGCAATGCGTGTTAGTGGAAGAGGCTAACAAACATGTTGATGAGCTACAGCAAAGAAATATTAATATAACTCAAAGAAACGCGATATGGCAGATTATCTGCGAGAAAGTTAATGCTGTGGATGAAACAAAAGAAAAAATTATTAAATTAAGAGAAGATGGCAGAAGAAGAAGAACAACACCAAAAGAAAAAATTGCACATAATAAAACCTTGGCTAATAAAACAGGTGGGGGGGCCGGTTGAAGAGATGCCTCTGACCAATATTGAGAAGCAGGTGCAGTTGACTTTCTGAAAAAAAAACGTCTTCCACGCCATCACCTCCTCACCACAATGACTGCAGCCATCGGTGTGCAACGCTGTGCAGATTAGCACCTACCTTTCAAACGTATCGAATATAGATGCATTTACAATCACCGCAATTATTTTCAGGCTTTGTAAATCACAATGTGTGTGTTTAATTATAGTATTTGCATCTACTCCTCCCAATATTTTACGCACTCAGGTTGAAAGGCTTGCATGTTTTTTTGCAAGTGAAATCAAGTTTGCACATGTTTTTACACGTGCAAACATTAGTAGATCAGGCCCAAAATCTAAAGGCCAAAAGACTGAGCTGCCACATGAAATATGAGGCAGCTGCTCTCAGCCAACTAGAACCACTGCAGAAGAGAGGAGTTGATGTGTGTTTACCTTGTCGTAGTAGTATCTGAGGGCCCTGCTCAGTTTGTCATAGTTCATGTTAGGCTTGTTCTTTCGAGCACCCCACAGCCGTGCAACCTCCTCAGCCTGCAGCAGCTTGAACTCGCCTTCCTCATTGGTCCAGCAGATGAGTTGGTCATTACTGGAATCCAATAGGAGCTGGAGTAGGAACTGCCACAGGGTGACAGAGTTGTCCATGTCTCTCACTTTGAAAGAGGAGAAAAATCATTAGGCTCATAAAACAAGAAATTGCTGCTCACAGCACAACAATACTGAATTACACAAGCTTCTGGGAAATATCAGCTTTATATGAACACACTGCCATGAGTCACTTCATTCTGACAATTAAGTTATGATGAAGTGTTGTAATTTAGTTCTCGTTTTCACCACTTTGCTCTGATTTGCCTGCTTTGATCAGTCAACCAAAGAACGGTTGAATGCTCCAACACTGAGCATTTGCATACACAGCAGCACACAGATAGATGATAAATGTAGGTATCAGTCTTAATATCATTCTGCTATAAAGATTACAAAGAGTGTCATATTTTATCTTCAGGACCAATGCAAATAATAAACAGTCATCTTTACGATTTATTTTAAAAAGCAAAAAAATACCTACACAAACCATCAGATCTGTTGAAAAAACAGAGTTTCAACAGAAATCGGGTGTAATTGCTGTAAATGGTTATTTAATAGCCATGGAATAAGAGGCTGTTTTACAAGGCCAGGTGCACCATCTATTATAAAAATCCCTCACATGTTTCCCACATTTCAGGGTGAAAATGTCACCAAACATCCTGTTGAATAAACTGTAGAGTGGTTTTATTAACAGCTGGATAAAGCCAAACACCTTCCATGCCTTTCCCTTCAGGGGAAATTCTAATGCCTAAAGTGGTAGGTAAGTTTCTACGTTCTTTGTCCCTTGGTGAGCCAGTGGGCAGAAAAGAATAGTGATCCTGTCCACACAGTTCAGGGTGAGTATAGCAGCATATCTGCTAAAAGGTCCCGTGTGTAAAATTTAGGTGAAAGGGATCTATTGGCAGAAATTTTATATAAAATAATCCTAGTGATGTTTTCACTAGTGTGTTTCACCTAAATTGTACGAATTGTTGTTTCTTTACCCTATAATGTTTTTTTAACATTAGTCCAGACTGGACAAAATAAACACGTTTTGAGTTTTCAGGAAAATTGAAGGCTACCATGGGTATTTTTCATGTTAGGAAGGAGAGGGTGAGGTGAGGGGTATTCAGCTGCAACATGCAAATTCAACACTAAATCCTACACACTGAACCTGTAAGTGTGGCCCTATTCTTGTTCAATTCATGACCATATCTAGACATTATGTCAAATTTCTCACATTAAGCCAATAATTGGGGCAGCTGTGGCTGAGGGGTAGAGCGGTCGTCCTCCAACCAGAAGGTCGGCCGCTCAATCCCCAGTCTTCCCATCTACATGCCAAAGTGTCCTTGGGCAAGATGCTTAACACTGAAGTGCTAATAGATGCACTGTATGAATGTGAATGGGTGAATGGTAAACTGTAGTGTAAAGCGCTTCAAGCGTCATCAAGACTAGAAAAGCGCTATATAAATACAAACCATTTACCAAACCATTCATTTCAAATATAAGAAAATTACACAAAGTAAAGTCATTCACACAATATCAGGCAAGGACTTTAAAGCTGACATACAGTGCCAATATTATAGGTGTAATGTTACAATCATATTAGACCTAAAATAATCAACACATTTTAATATTGATTTAACAGTCTTTTAAGAAAAAAGGGCAAAAATAAATACACTTTTATAATTGCTGGTTACAGACTCTAAAATGTGGGTGTTTTCTGGTTGTCTTCAGTGATAATAAACTGAATGTCATTGTGTTATTAAGAGTTTTAAGGGTGTCATCAAGGTCTTTGGTAAATTGTGATGGGCTATTTTATGATGTGAGATTCTACGATGTATTAGTCAATACAGAAAATGATTGGTAGAATTATCAGTACAATTGTTTGTTGTAGCCCTAATCACATTTTTTCCTAACTGTAACATGATGACTGCAGCTCCTACAAATGTCACAACCAACATAATAATGGACATTACAACCCAAACATAAGTTTACAGACTAAATAACCTATTATTGTAGTCAGTCTTTGTCTAAAACCCTGACAACAAAACACCTCCACACAAATCCTGGTGAATTATTTTTTCAGAGGTGCTTTCATTATGCTTAATTAAAACAGTAAACCATATTTCGGCATTCTGGCATTTGCTTGTGGGTTGCTGACAACACACTGACTTGTGAACAAAGTAGTTCAAAAGAAGCTGACTTTTGTCTTATGCCTGTGTTTGACTGTATTATTTTTTCAGCTAAGGTACAAGGCCACATCTGGCACTTTCTTTGATGCTGTTGAGGGGCTCTGCTGCAGTCTGTGCAGCTTTTCCACCATGACATCCTACGCACAGATTAAAGGCCATGCACACTGGAGGTACACCCACACAGGTGTTTTCACTTTGGATTAGACCTCCTCTCAGCTCTTTGTGGGCACGAACAGAAACCTGTTTTATTGACATCTGCCTCATTTATTTGCTGGACCTGTCAGAAGTGGAACAACATTAAATTCTTCAGGCATATGTTTTGTGAGCTCTGCAAACTCTCAGGGTTATTACACCCAGCTTCAATCTGAAATGAAAAGCATTAAAGGGGCAATGCATACCTGTGCCATAACTTGTATATATTGTAATAACTAATGCACGAGTTCCTTATTGTAATATCTAATTATTATTGTAATAACTAGTGCCTGTTCTAAACCCGCATGTGTGGAATGGGCTCCTTGCTTGGCCTGTGGTGATGGTAGTTGCAGTTTTCTATCAGAAACTGCAGAACAGACCTGCAGGAATTGGGCCATGGCAAATAAAGACTACCTACTGGACTAGTTAACCCTAACCCTAACCCTGAAGCTTCACCAACATGATTTACATTGGTGAGTCCCGGTGTTCTATTTTAGCTGGTGTTCATGTTAACTGGTGATATTTGTTTACATTCCACTCTCTGTGCACCACATGTTGTCGATTGCAGATTCGTAATTTTCACAAAACAAGGCAAAAAGTCACCATTTACTTCAATTGTATTGGATTTGGCTGCAACGCTGTTTACCACTGAATCTCATAAAGTGTTTTGTGGACTCAAACACTTCACCCACTCCTCCACTGGCATAGTGGTGAGTAGGTAATGATTGAATTTTAATATTTGTGTGAACTATTCCTTTTAGAGTTTTGGAAACTCTTGAAGGTCAAACTAAAAGTGTAAATATTACACTCCCTCCTGCCTGTGTCACCTCAGCTGGTGATTAATGAAAGGGTCACATAATTACATGTTGTTCAGAAGGAAAGTGAGGGGCTCCCCTTTTCACCAGTCAAGAGTTGCTGCAGATAAAGAAAGACGATAGATGGGAGTGTTCATGCTGCGATTGACAATGAGAGTAAGCACATAAGTGAGGGCAGGGAAAGCTGCATTTATAATGTGGGTGGATATTATAAAATCATCAACCACAGCATGACTACTGTATATGTATCTTACAGAGTAGAGCTGAGAACAGCTTCAGTCCTCCTTGTCCTGCTGTGTCTCTGCAGCTGTTGAGTTGAAAAAGGAGGAAATATACTTCCCCTCAGAGGTGCTCAGATCTGGTGGTGTTTCATCATTTTTGGGGGGTACATGGGCTTGGTGTGTTTTTGAATTGTTTTTACCAGTGCCAATATAATATCTCTATTTCTGTACCAACAATCATGATGTATCCATTTCTGATTCGTCACTATCACATGACCCTTTTGACAGAGCATCTGCCTCGACTACCACTGGTGAATGCAACATGGGGAACAGATTACAATTACTGCTGACCTTGTTGTCTTTGCCAACAGTTGTTGAGCAGTTCTGCATTTGATAATGCTACAGCTGCCTACATGTGCAGCCAAAGATTAATCGAGCACAGAGCAACAATTCGGAATCTGACCAGAAATTAAATGAAACTTTCAATACTTAGTCAAAACCAACAAAGTACAGATGTCTCTCACTGCTTCTGTAGCTGTTTTGTGTCCCTTACACCTGTGTCTTGTTCTTGAAAGGAGGAAAAAGAGAGGGGACTTCTTACGAAACACCTTAATGAAATACCTCTTCAAAGCCAAGAGTTTCACGAGGGCAACTAAGACCTAATGTAACAAGACTCATTTGAGCTAAAATAACAGCATATAACCGAGAGTGCAGATAAATACTGCAATTAACAGCTAAGAAAGAGACGTAGCGTCGACAGTTTTTTCTGCAGCATTTCCCCGAGGGAACTGTTAAGCACTCTGATGTGGTAAGTTAATTTCAAGGTATCAACTTGGATTGCACCAAGTATGCACTGGCTGGATGCACTTCAGACATGTAGATTTATAATCATGAATGACACACCTTGTGGTTGCACCATTCTTCCAGGTGGAGTGTCGGTTACACTTTCTCTTTAGACAACTGTGGTTGTCAGCTGTCAGTGCGGTGGTAGCTTTGCACTGTGACAGAAACTGCCATGCAGCAGCTTGAGGACTTGTTATGACCCAAGCTATCCAACAGCACCAATCATCATCTATGTACGGCTGCCTCCCACATGGCAGAGGTTCTGCTGAGGCGCTTATGTTCCAGTTCAGTTTTCTGTACATGCTTGTGAATGCAAAAACTGACAGGCCCTGAGACTCCAATTAGATATACAGCCTTTCTGTCATCCACAGTAATTCCTTTCTATTTTTAAAGACCATTAGATCACACTTTAGAGATCTCGCTCTCAATAACACATTCAAATACAATGCAAATGTGGAAATGGGGTTGTTTGTGCACCATGTTTCCAAAACGGGCCTCACATGGGACACAAAGCTTGCTTAAATTTCCCTCGGGATCAATAAAGTATCTCTCCGTCTCATTCCCACTGCAGTTATTAAGCTACTCACATGTTGCATGTTTTAAAGCCTCAAAAGTTGTTGTCAGCAAAATCACAAACACACACACACACACACACACACACACAGGATTCCTGGTTCATCTTCTCTCTGTTGCTGTTTTCAAATTGTATACTACAGACCGACTGTGATTCCCTGTCAGAATCTGTCGACATGTGTGTGTGTGTAAGCTTCTTATGAGGAAGAGTAAATCTGCCCTGACCTGCTGGGTTGAAGACCCCCCCCCCCCACACACACACACAAACACACAATCTGTCCTAATCATGTTAAAACCACAGATATGGAGGGAAAATGGGACAGTGTGAGATCTGCTGCCAGGGGAAAAGATTACCGATGGATGTTATATAAAGTCTGACATTAGCAAACGTTATCTACGGAGCGATGAGATAACGTCAGCTCGCTCCCATCAGTCATGAGTTATTCAAGCACAGTAAACTCTCAGGCTGGAGAGAGTGGTTGGAACTATCTGATAGCCAGTTTCACACACACACACACACACACACACACACACACACACACACACACACAGCAGATAAAAAAGACCACTTGTTGATGGATACTGTTAGTTTCGGTATCGTCGGCATGTGCCAACAGTCCATTCCCGGTTGCTGACAGCGGCTCGGGGTGGAGCTGACGCGTCCCCGTCTGTGTGACAGTCGACAAACAAATCAACGCAGCGACATTAAGAGCGGCGCCAGGAGCTACTGTAAGTTAGCGCTCGGCTAGCTCCACTTTAGCTTGTGTGCTAACAGTACCTCGCTCGCAGAGCCCGCTGGATTTCCAAGTCGTCGAGCCGCGTCCAGATATCCCCCAAACATGTCTGAAAAGCCTGTTACTCCGGCATGGCTCGGGAAACAAGTTTCTAAGCGAGTGTCAAGCAAATACCTGGACGTAAAATACATTTAACTGGCTTTGGCTCGAACCGACGATATATCCTCTGTACAGGAAATTATGCTGCGTTCATTGCTGCTCGTACATCTCACATTGGACGACAGTGTCGCCTACAAGTGCGATACAGTATTATGTCATATATGACATAATCAGACATGTGTGATTCTGCGAGCTGGTAGCTGTTGCTGTATTATTATTATTACTATTATTAGAAGTAGGAGTACAATTTGTTATTACTGCTGCTGGTACTACTACTACTTATAATAATAACAATAATAATAATAATAATTATTATAAACTGTGACAACAAGATAAAGTATAGCTTTAATCATATTTTTGAACAATGTATTGATAGTAATACTGTAATAGTATATGTAAGCAGTTTACTCAACATGCAGTGTTTTGTTCGATGATGTAGTTAGCATGATGTTTGACAATTCACCTCAGAAACTCGTAACTTGTAACACCTCTCTGTGGTATATGTTTTCAAAATTCCGACTCTCCCTACAGCCCTAAACGCGTCATTAAACATTGAGGTCACTTCCTGTCTTGTGTCTCTGGCTGTCAGGTTTTTCATGTTGTTGGGACTTTTGCTTTACAAAACAGAAATAAAGACACACAAACGTGTGACGTGTCTAACCTGTAACGTGGACTTGTGTATTGCTCCAGTAAACACGTGTGGTTTATCACGTGTTTCTACAACATCTGAACTGAGCGTCCAGTTTAAATATAAATCTACACTGTGATTTTACCGCCCATCAGCAGACCAAAGCCCATTTAACAGAACTGTTCGACTGAAAGTACAATTTATTAGAGTCTATTTTTACTCTGACAGTTGTGTGAAGTCATGTTATTTCAGTTAATAAAAGATGAGTGGATACAATTTCCAGTAATTTGATTTGGTGTCAATATTGAACAAGGAGCTTCTTACTTCATTTCTGTTTCAGAAGCAGAGTTAATGTATGAAAATCATGTTGATGACTGAGATCACGCGATATTTATTTCTGCCTCACTCTGTTTATGATTTATCTATCCCTGCATGCACTGGGCCACAAGAAAGCTACCCTATGTCTATCACGTGCGTCAACTGCATACCCATTTTATTTAATTCGTATTTCATGGAATAGGGTCATGTACCGAAATACATCTGGCAGTTTTAGAAGTCACATGATTAAAATAACAATTTTATTGAATTAAAGAATATTTGAAAAAGAGGATTTGTATAATGAAATTGTAAAAAGCTTTACAAATGTATCTTAACAATATAAATGAAAGTCTTGTTTACCCTGAGTGATGGTCAGCAGAGACACACTTTCACACTGGACAAAAAAAATAACCCAAAAAACCACAACATCCTTATCGTCAGTGTGAAAGATCACAATCAACATTAAGTCTCAGTTGAAATGACTGCAGTGTAGATATTAATTAATTCCATCTTCGATTGTGGCAACTTATTGGTTAATCTGTGTTTAATAAACCTGTATGTCTGCTATATTTTTTGTGTAAAATGGTTAAGACTCACCTATAAAATAAATACATTCGCTCCCAGCATCACAGGATTAACTTCTTAACTCTTAACTTTATTCTTTAAAGGAACGTTTAATGTTGCTCCTTGTGACATTTCTGACCTTTTCACTAAATGCCATCTCTTTTTATAGTCTTTGCAAGTAGCTCAATAAATGTACACAAATATGTTGGAATCATAGAGAATTGTCTTCTTTCTCAGTTGACATTGAATGTATATTTCAGATTCACCACCAAGTGGCAGCATATCATAAGGATGTCACACCATCAACTGAATCACAGCAAACTTCAGTCCAACTTGTACACAGTCATTGGAGTGAACAGAGAGTAAACATGATGCTGAACTCATCTGAGCTTAACCATGTTTTAATAACGCTGATTAAACTTTCATTTGTGCATGTTAATTTGGCCAGTATGTGGTTATAAGTATGTATCTTTATATATAAATTTATATAAATGTATATACAGTATATGTATATAGAGTGATTGATCTGCTGATTGCATGAGTCATCACAGCCTAGGAAGATTCTACTATGGATTCAAACTTTCTCCAGGTTTGTCATGTGTTTACATTTTACATAGATTTACTGTGCATTTTTAAAAATGCACATTGATAGATTCCAGTTGAATTGTGCTTTTGTCCATTATTTTTTAGCCCTTTTTTTCAATTACACAAAAAAATTAACAAAAAATCAATCATTGTAATGGAGAATTTGATGTTCTCCCAGGCAACAGAAGACTCTTTTTATTAATTATTTTATCACTTCATGAGATAGTTCTCACTGACATACACATCATATGGACTAGAGTTGCAACCATTAGTTGATTAATGTGACAGCTCCCAAATGTGAAGCCAGAGTGTCTTGATCGCCCCCTGGTTGCTGGCTGCAGTATAGGTCATAATATGTTAGTGGATGGGATGTGAACCAAACTAAAAACTCATAGTATAGTATGTCTCAAAGATGGTTTCTGTCATTTTAAGGATTCTTATCATAATGATGTATGTTCAACTGTTCATTGTTCTAGAAAGTTTGGTTTTGATTAGTTATTAGATGGTATAAAAAAGGTGAAATGTCATGATTGACAGCTGAGACAAACTCAGGATTGGTTGAACGACCTCATTGGCGGGACCTCGATAGTGTGGCTCCATCCCTCGGTTGCTACTGTGCTAACTCTGGTTCTAAGTAACCTCTTTGATGCAAGATGGCAGCTTTCTCGTATGTTTAAGGTTCATTTCTGGATTGTGGTTGCAAGTGGAGCTGCTTTGTACAACTAAATACAACATCTATCATCTAATACTTGTACTTATATCTAATTCTACAGCTCTTCCTTGTTTAGAACAATCTTCTGATTACATATCTCTCTGTCTGCTGTTTTGCAGAGCTGAGAGGAACTGAAGAATGCAAACCGACTAGGTTTATCAAAACAAGGATTCTTGTTGTTTTATCTATTACTAATGTGAAAGTACTGATCAGTGCAGATTTAAACTTTTCTCAGGCAGCTTGAAATCAGTTTCCAACTATAGGCCACAGGAAAAGTGGAATGATGGAAATAAAAAAAATGTGGGAGGGAGAAAAACCTCCTGTGAATTCTCAAAATGAGTTTCTTATTCATTGTTGAAGTAAGTGCTTTAAGTTATCCATTAGAAGAGTATTTTAAAAACTTCCTTGAGAAGGAAGTTATTTTGTCACAGTTACTCATTAGTATGAATCTGCAGCTTTTATAATGCAGCATTGTTCCAATTTAAAGACAGTACAAGGCTCTGTCCTACAGTAACCTCTGGTCACAAACAATTGTTAGCCAGCTTCTCTTATTACATTATAGCCTGCAGCCATATTTCATTTCTGAAAGGAAACCCCCTTCTGTCCAATGATTCTGGCCCCAGATACCCGGAATTTGCACATCAGGAATCAGATGAGCAGCTTTTTCAGACTGCGTGATCCCAGAGTAGCGACAGTGTGAAAGGACAGAGCAGGAAAGGAGACAACTGCTTTGAAGCTGGTCCCGGCTTCCTCTGGGTGCTCCCACCTCAGCCAAACACGACTGGAAAGCATCAACAGCCAGAAATTCCTGATACGCACAGAGCTAAAGCTGCAGCTTCCTCTGCTAACTATTGAACAAAGAGATGTTACTGCAGTCGTCAGATCAGTGTTAGAAAGCCGGCAGCATGAATTTATCCAGAGCCTCAGTGGAACGGCCTTGATTTGGTTATCCTGCCACCCACTCTGTGCTGTAATCTCTGCTGCTGCTCACTGCAGGAAATTCAGATTGGTATCGTTTCACTGAGACAGTCACTGGGCAAATTAGTAGAGTCTTTAATGAGAGCAGGCTGGTCTGCCATGACAACACAGTTCATGTGTGTTCTATAAAAGCTTAATACTGATTGTTGTTCTCCATCATTTTGCTGTTTTACTATATATTTGATTGGGTGTATTTTTAATGCCAGTACGAGGGAGCACCATTTTTAAAGGTGTGGTAGGTTGAAGTAGAGTAAGGTCGAGAATGCAGGATAGACTCATCAAGTAGTTTCTAAATGTCAAACCTGCAATGATCAATATGTGTACAAGAACAACAGGTATGATGACTCCATGCAATGTAAAAGACGCCACTCGAGTCACCTGATGCTGCACTTCCCCTCAGGTCGGACAAGCCGCTTTTAGCTCATTGTTGTGGTTTTACAGCCAATAAATCTTCTGCTGTGGTTCATCAATCTCATTTGGTGTATGGCAGTGTACAAACACCAAACAACAGAGAGAGTCGGCAGCTGCTGTAGCTTGAGAACACTACTTACTGGCTAAAGACCATGTATATATTTCAAAGTAGCTGTTACAAACCAATACTGGGCTCAGCTGTTGCCTCACCAGGGACATGACTCCAAATATATGTTGTAAATACTCAATGATGTTATGTTGCTCCGTTAACTTAATTTGAAAAAAGGCAAAGATTTACAAATCACATTAACTTTCACGTTCAAATAATTGTTGTGAAGTAAACAGTGCAATATCTCGGAGAGGTTTTGAAGTGTAAAGTCATACAGACAATTCATTCATTTGTGATTCTGCCCAGCTTAGTCCACTCTTCACTAAAGCCCCTTTTCCACCAGCCACTAACACCCACTAACATCTGGCGATTGTCTGCGGTGGGAATGGAGCTGCATTCTCTCCGGGGTCAAATGACTCTACAGTAGTCACAGGTTTTTATCAGCTTCAACTGTGATCAGCAGAGATGGAAACATGACACCAGGGTGAACACACTAATTTGGAGGGACAGCTAGGTGAGAGAGGGCCTCAGTTTTTAGTGCGCTTGTGATGCCTGACATGACACACAGAGGGGAAAAAAACACAGTAGCAAACTCCTCTTCTGACAATGGGACAGGAGACAGTGGTCTGTTTTAGTGTGTTTACCTGTGTTTAAAGAACCTGTGAATACCCACTCATTTTGGTGTAAAACCGATATAGTCCCACTGTGTATTGTCTTTTTGCATCGGCTGGTCTCCACAAACTCCTGAGAAAAGCATCTGGCTTCATCTGGCTAAATGCTACACTATGTTCACCAGGTAGTCGCGAATTTGAGCCACTTGTACAAAGGCAGTTAAGTTAAAATCTTATTCCGCCTCACTATTCTGTGTAAGGTACAAAAAAAAACAACAAAACACTGATGACAGTGGTGACAATGAACCAAAATTATCAACCACCCAGCCATGGAGCCAAAACAATTGGCTAAAAGATGGTAAAACATTCTGTAGTGTTGAGAGGAAATGTATTTTTGGCTGAAAAGTCTTCATAAGTTTATCAATACTAATGAATTCAATGTGTTGCTGTTTGCTGCTGGAGATAAGATTGACAACTGCAATGTGCTTTAAGCTGACTACCTGAGTAAATGTGCAGTGTGAAGTCCAATTAGCATTGCAAATTGTGTTTACTTAACCGTACTACACTTTTCTCATCATTTTTGTGAGTGTTAGATTTGTGTGTACAACCCCAGCATTAACTTCATTACAAATGCTAATATTGCTGTCTTTGAATAACAGATCTGTAACATCGGCACCATTCAAATGAGCATAACATTTTAATAACAAAAGATACAGCATTTTATTGTTTGTTATTTATTTCTGCAAATAGGAAAATAGCATTTCTGGTATTCAAAAAAAACCCAACAACAACAGATACACAGGAAGGACTGAGACAGAAACAGAGAGAATTGCATGATGAGGGAATTCAGGTCTCGATGTAGGTCAGTAGATGCAGCCTGGGGAGGCTCAGACACAAAGAGCACCCTGGTTCAGACAGATAAACACGTCTGACCGTCTGTCTACTCTGAGCAGGTTTCTATATTACTAAGCATTGTTGTTTGAAAAGAATGAAGCGTAGTGTGTCCATAATAAAAAAAGACATGAGGATGGGTGCTCGCTGTAGAAGACAGTGCACTGCCACATGCAAAAGTGCTGTACTTGTTTTTAGTTCATCCAAAAGCACAGATGTTGTTCAAGCTAAGGTAAGATTGCCATTGGCCAGCAGTCTGTAGTCGTAAGTTATAGTTACAGAAAGGTTAGGTAAGCTTTCGGTTATTCTGTCTGTGTGTGAAACACTGGCAGGTGAACAAGAGCCAAAGTGTTGAGTTTAAAGAACACATGATAATAGTGTCTGCACAACACAGTGGAGTCTACCCTTCCAGAGAAAATACGCTTTCCTGTTTTTTGGCATTTTAAGGGTTCTGATACATTTTTAATGGAACTTCCATAAGAGCATGACGACCATTCCTCTATTTCCACAAACACAAGTGCACTTGAGACCAGCAGATTCGGCTTAATGGCTAGAGAATGGGGAAGAGTGGGACTCCAGATCCCACACCATAATCAGTCTGACAAGTCGATGGATCAGACTGATTACAGATTGATCACGCTACAATCAAACTCACAAAACAGACCAGACACCTCTCCAGAAACACCACTGAATAGCTTAATGCACTGATTGAAAATCATCTTTGATAAAAAAAAACATCTATATAATATAAAGGCTACAAGCTGTACACATTGTACTTAATGTTCAGTACACATTATATTGAGTATATGCTAATACACATGATTGGATAGATGTTAGCAACTTTTCAAGCTGTTTAAACCATTAGTTTTTCCTTGTTGCTATAACCAACAGAAAAAAAAGTGTTTACAGTAACTGCTACTGTAAGTAAGAAAGAGCAGCACTTTTTGAACCATCGAGCACTTTTGATACATGGAGCCAAAGTTCAACATACAGGCTGAGTAGCTCATAGGCCACATAAGTCGGCTGCACAATGATTTCCAAGAAATTTTCTTAGAACAAACAGCTTATAAACTGTCACGCACCAAAGGTGTCATTATTCATGCTCTCACAGGGCCCAACTGGAATATCTGGTTTGGCAACCCTCAGCACAGAATCACAGTTCAATAAGAGCAGTCATATGGTAACATTTTAAACAGTAGGATCAGGTGAGGTTTTGAGATATGGACAAAGGCATTGATAGAAAGTAGGGCATACTGGGACTGAGCAAAGGCATACAAAGGGTCAAAACAGGAAGCATTGTGGTTGGATGAGTAAAGGCCAGGTTTGGATTTTTAAAAACTCAGAATTTAGGGGGAATTCTTCTGTGAGCACAGCCACAAGTTAAGTATGACTGAATCAATGTCTCAGCTTTTACTCTTAATATCAAGAGTCACACTGTTCATTCAGAGTGAACTGCAACTCTGAAAATCTAATACTTAGAAGAGTCTTCTACTGCTTTCGTCACAATTTCACCCCACAGGGATGACTGTCACGCTCATTAATAGCGTCTATCAGAGGCCTTATGATTCAAACAAGGCCAGAATCTGATGCTAAAGACGATGTTTCACTTTAACAATACACAAAAATATTGGTAAGCTTCATCCGTGTGGACCCTGAAGTTTGGCTTCAAGACTGACGGGCGAATGCAAACATAGGAAGGAGATAATATAGTTACAGACGCTCCCGTTACTGTTACAACACCACCCTACTCTCAACAGCACCTGGTGGTTTGGAAGCAGGAACAGTAGTGCGAGCAGAGGTTGCAAAAGGGGGCCTCCTGCTATATCTTGTGTCTGTGTGTGTGTTGGAAGGCCAGGAAATCCACTTTTCCTGAGGTGGCTGTTAGCTCAGTATAAGATGAGCTGCTCAGACAGAACAAGTGAAAAGTAAACAGCAGGGAGAAGAGGAAAACGCCGAAACATTGAGGGGGAAAACAGCAACCAGCTCTCGAGATTATTCTGAAAAGTTGTGCTCGTAAAGCACCAAAAGTCCTGAGGGAGACCCGAACCCCACCATGGTCATAAGCCAGCCTGGGCGGAGAGGGTGGGAGGGTGCAGGGTTTCGGCCAGCTGAAGGTATCACACGGTGGCTCTGATAATCCTGCTGGGCCTGGAGCCGCGGTGGACCTTCGTGTGTTTGGATAAGTGGTCGCTGCGTGCAAACTTTTTTTCACACAGCGAGCACTCGTAGGGCTTGATGCCGGAGTGAGAGCGACGGTGACGGGAGAGTTCGTCAGATCGGGAGAACCTGTCGACACAAGAGCAGATGGGTGGTGTAAGGAAAAGAGTCTCAAAAGAAAATGAAAAGTACGTCCACCACCTATGCTGAGTGGTAAATAAATCTAAGAAATATTTATAATAATATATGACTGTCGTTAAGGTTAAAGAGGGAAATGGTTATAGAACTGTGGACATGACTAATGGAAGCAATAGATGAACAATGGAATTGAAACTAACAAGGAGCTGTACTGCAGCTCGAGGTCATCTTATTAAGACTTTATACGGAATATGGACACTCTTTACATTTATTGGACTTGCAACTCACGTCTATGGGGAAATGATACATAACTTATATTTATTTTAATATGTTTGTGTTAAGCTGTTTATGTTCAGGGTTTTTAGCATTTAAATAAGTTTGTACTTACTTTTATACAGATATGTCAAATTGTTTGCATAAATATGGTCATATAAATGTTGTAACCCCTTATAAAGGAAACCTAAGCTGCAAAACATTTGATGTGGATGGGGATACGAGAAATAATCAAACTTCAAAAGGACGTCCATCGTTTTTAGAAAATCCCTTGAATGACCATGTTGTGACCCATTTCTATTTCTGTTTACTTTCATGTTTCATTTTCCATGCACTAAACAGGGCTGACAAATGCCCCTCAATATGAAACAGAATGAGACAAGAGTCTCACGGTGCAATGATGGATGAGTAAGGTCCAGCTGACAGCAAATCCATAATGATGGTTTGAAATCTCCATTCACCACTCATCACAGCTACTTAATGCAACTGAACGCTGCAGAGATTTTAAACAGAGCTTATGTTGAGTGATCGTTGGCTAAACTGAACTGAGTCTATATTAATCCCAGGTGAGTGTAACGCAGAATTTTATCCATGGTTTGCATTTATGACTATTCTTTCATTCAGTAATTTTCTTTGAGGTAAGTTGTGTAAAGCCGTTTAAGACATGAACTCCGAAGGATGTCCAAAGAGTTGGGTCCGGACTTTCTCCAGAGTTTGTCTTTCACACATGCACAATGCAGCAGGAGATTCTCCGCTCAGATGCGTTCACATAAAATCTCTGGAGCGTTCAGGTGAGGGGGGGTGCAGCAGGCAGGATGTAATGTATTAATTCTGCTGCGAAGATCACTTGTTTGAGTTTGAAGGACGTCAGCACCGGTGTCAGCCTTGATCACCAAATGGTAAATGGTCTGTATTTATATGGCGCTTACAGTAGAGTGCATCTATGGGCAGCACTTTTTTATGAGGGGGCCATTCAGAGTTCAGCTTCTTGCCCAAGGACACCTCTGTAAGCAGACCGCCAACGTACTGGTTAGAGGCCAAAAAGTTATCAAGTGTCTTCATGTGTGGTACAGCTATTTTTCCTGAGAAATGTATTCCGTTTTTTTTTGTTTTGTGCCTGTCCTGGCAGGATCTCCTCCTGTGTTCTTACATCGGCTCATTCTGACATTCTCCAGAGTTTTAACTTAGGGGCTGGCAGGGGGAACTCCAGAGAAGGTCCAGAGCCTCTCACTCGGACATTTGCATTCTCACATGCTGCCTTTCCGGGATCTGGAGATTCTCTGGAGTTCAGTGCATGTCTGAAAGCAGCACCAATGGGCTGCCTAAGACATGGGAATAATATATGTCCTCCCTGAAAATAACCATTAACTGCATTTTCACTGAATGATTAATTACATTTTACAATCGGGCAGGCCATCTCCACATGATGGAAAAGTGGCATTAGTGGGACTACTTTTCCCCTCTAGCTGGGTTTTATCTTTGTGAAAATCCTTGTCTGTTACTCAAAATTGATTTCTTGGTAACATAATTTCACTGGTACCTGAAACAACACAACCCATAAATGCAGCCCCTTACATCAACCATTGAGAAAATCTATAACTCATTATATTCCTTAAACGTTCCAGTGGATTTATTAACAGAAAAGAAATTATGATCAACATTATTATTTTTCATAGCTTAAAATCAACAAGTTTTAGTTTTCCTAGAATGAAACCTTTATGTGTACATCCATCGTGTTTCTACAGTGGCTCAGAATGGAAAAAACCATACACTACCTCTGGAGGACCTTTCTTGTTTTTATGTTACCTGAAGGCCATCATAGATTCTCCTGCATTCTCCTAGATGCCAAAAAGTCTTACCTTAAACTTAGTATTAACTGTTAAACAATAGAGTTCATATTATGTCACATACCTCCAGCCACACTCGGGCCAGCTACACGTGTAGGGCTTCTCTCCTGTGTGCCGGCGGAAATGAGCCTTCAGGTGGCTGCTCTTGGTGTACATCTTCCCACAGCCTGGGTGGGTGCACTTATGGACCCTCTCTGTAGGCGGCACTCTGCTCACCCGAGGGGCCATGGCCTTCAACAGGCCACTGCCCTGGGCCCCAACCCCAGTCACACCCATAATCTCTACAGTCCTCATTGTGAAGGGAAGAGGGGCGATCTTCACATACTTCTGGTCAGCTGACTTGGTATCGCCACTGTTTAGTGATAAAATAGTGGTGGGGGTGGAGGGCACCTGGGGGGCCAGCAGGGTGACATTTTGTCCTGTGGCACCCTGGAGCCCCATGATGAGATGAGTGAGCCAAATGCTGTTTTGGGCTGCGGGGGGAGAGGCTGCTTGGGTCTGAGGCTGGGCCAGAGGCAGGGGCTGGAGCTGGAGAACCAGTGGAGCACCCAGGAGCATGGAGGGGGTTAAGTTGGATGGTGAGGGGGCTACTTGGGCAGAAGGGGAAGGGTCAGCTGGGCCAGGGCTGGAGCTGTTTCGCTCATTGTGAGGTGAGGCACTTATCCCTCTGTCACTACAAGTGTCTGAAGAGGAGGCCGGGGGTGTTGTGGAAGATGGAGAGTCACTGGAGCTGCATGGGAGAGGGGAGGCCTCCTCTTTTGGGGCCATTAACCCCTCTTTCACCACCTCCATCTTTTCCCTCAAGAACTCTTCTATGTCCTCCAGGGTCGGGGAGAATGGGGAAGAGGGGTTGTAAGGGAATTCTGGTAGCTTAGGCTCTTGACTCGCAGGTTCCTCTTCTTCTGCTGCCTCTAGAAAAATATGCAGGCGCGTGCCATCATCGTCATCTTCCTCCTCCTCCTCATCTTCGTCCTCTCCAAGGCTGGGGCTGTGCATGGCCCCCAAGTCCCCTGCCTCGGGGCTGTCACAGGAAGCCAAGCTGGCTCCCTCGCTGCAGGCGCCGTCTCCCAGGCCGAGGGAGAACAGGCTGCTGCTGCTACTGCTGCTGCTGTCCCTGAACAGGTCATTCTCCAGACTCAGCGTTCTGCTGCTGAGAGACACCATTGATGCAGGCCAAACACAGAGGAGAGGATGTTGAGGAAACTTGACCCAGACGCAGAATCACAAAAACCTGCACAGGCAACATCAAGACAGGACTTTATTATCCAGCAGAAAGTATGAGGAGATATTGCATTCAAAGTGCTGAGTACTAAACAATAACACAATATGTTGATACCATTATGACACGCCTCTGCTGTAAGTTCATTAACAATAAATGATTTATTTAAAATCATTTGAAAACATATCACATAATAGTGAAAATGTTTGAGGGTCTTCTGCACAAGTTTGACGACAAGTTGCCAACCACCAGCGGATGTCAGGTACATATCCTCAGTTGTGTACTTTAGCATCATCGAACTTTTAATGCTCATATCATAAATCGGTGTCTTTAGATGTGATACACTTAAATTCATTCACCTGTATGAACATATCAGGAGAACTTTCTGAACAGGGACACTTCAGCATACACAGAAAATATGGGATGAGCCGGAGATTAAACTAGACCAGAGATTAATGACCAACCAGCCACGACATATTAACCTGTGTTGGGCCCTTTCAGAGCCACGCTGCCACTTCCAGGTTGTTTATGCTCAGAAATAATTTACAAAAGTCTGTGATGATTTGCTCAAACACGGCTTATTATGGAATTATGCACCGTTTTACACAACTCAAACTATTATGACAAATGTCTTAAATTACATATTGATATGGGCCACTAGTACTAAGGTCAGATTAATCTCAGGGCCCCAATAATTAAGACTTGTCTGTTACTACTATAAATACAGAATGTAAAAAGTTAAACTTAAAACAGCTGATCTTAAATTTAGATATTGATATAATTTTAATCTTAGCACCCCAATTATTAGCATGTTTGGTACGATAGATAGACAGATAGACATATACTGTATATACAGATAGATAGATAGATAGATAGATAGATAGATAGATAGATAGATAGACAGATAGATACAGATAAAGTTAGAAGTTAAACTTTAAATAGCTAGCAGACCCCTGTGGGTGTTTCTGCGTCCTCTACCGGGTCCCCGGACCCCGAATATGACACCAGAGTCCAAACACAGTCCGCTCCCACTGGTAAGATCATCTCCACGAGCTTATGTAAAGGCTGTTTGTTTCTGCTGTCAGACCGCCAGGCACATGTTGCAGCAGGGCCTCGCACTCCACACAGTGCTCGGAGCAGGCGCTGCACAACCGCGGCCCCGCACTGACGCGCCCAGAAACATACGGCGAGGGAAAAAGTCCCCGTGAGAAACGCATCGGCCCGTGGAAACACACTAAACCGCGTCCGTGAAGGAGGCGCGGTCGACAACGAGGCGATGCGCCTGAACGCAACTGCGCCTGCACAGGAATCCACGAGCCTCAAGTTCGGCTGGGTCATAAAACATGATCTATTTATACTCCTCCGCCGCCTCTCCGCACGATCGGAGCAGGAGGATCCCGGACATTTGGCTCGACCTACCGTGCGCGGCTCGGCGGGGGAACGCAGCGCCGTCGATCGCTCGCTGTATTTCGGCCTTTCCTTTCTCCTCCGTCGTGTTATTGTCGTAGCACGCTCACACATCCCGTCCTTGCCACGGGTCCATGTTGGCATTCCTTCTCCCAGCGTCACGTGACTGCATCGCTGCACAACTCGGAGGCACGGGTCCTGTCCCGCGCGTCTGATTGGCCGTGCGCCGCGGAGGCTCGCCCTAATAGGCGCGCCCCGATTGGCTGCCGCTCGATAAATTCTGAGTGCCATGTGTTTATGGGGATCACAGTGTGCAGGATACAATGTGGCCTATTGATGGCGTACACACGGGGGGTGGACAAAATAATGGAGGCGCCTATTAATGTAACAAGTAAGTGATTCGAAGCAGCACCCAGCCTCTCCACCAGAACGGCTTCAAAGATGTGAGAGCCTGGGGAGGAAGTCTGCACTTCTGCTGCTCAAGGCCTGATGTTTGCTGCTGAGCACACATGCAGAGAACCACTCAGACTTACAGGATTGATTCCCATGGAGGCTTCCTCCTTCCTCCATGTGTAAAATCTACACAATCATTTGAATAACCTCAAAGATCACTCATCAGACCTGTTTTGTTCAGCTCACATCATGTGATCTCTCTGGAACACACCTCAAGTTGACTCAGTCATTGTCCCATGATGAAGTGAATGACGCTCAACTGCAGCCAGCAAATGTTTTTTACATGTGAAAACAGAACACAACACAACAACAACACACAGAGGCTCTAGTGTGTGTTTATGATCATCAAGTAAATCAGTCACTACAAAACCAGTTTTTTCCAGAGTCTCTGTTAATGGGTCAAGTATAACACGCTTCAAACCAAAACATAACTCTGACCCACAACATTCATAAACATCACACAAACATTAAAAAAATAGTTTGCAACACACTGTGATGTTTATTCATGTACAGTATTTATGTACATCTAGAACTTCTCCTATACAACCATATTTTATGTTATTTCAAATATATTTTTTAAACATTATTACTCATTATCAGTTTAATCAGCGGCCTCCTCATACGGATGTTCACAGGTGGAATTTTATACAACTTGTATAATGCTAAATAAGTACAATGTACTACAAGTTTATTTATTATTATATATTCTGTTAAGTTAAAACTCAATTTTACAACATTCCAAGAGCATTTGAAGTCAGTTTATGAAGCATTGATCAAGTTCACACAAACTAACTAATTGAAGCTGTGTCTCTTGATTCTTTTACAGTTACAGTTCAGATCAGTGATCATGCTGCAGATGTCTTCTCTGCTGTGACTGACAACAGTTTCCCAAAAGCCTCTGTAATGAACTGTTACGGCCTCCCTAAACAAACAATGGCTCAACTGGAGACCGGAACATACTACAGAGGACACCAAGACAATGGAAGTGCCATAAGAAATAATGAGGTCTTATTTTTTAAACAAATCCTACTCAGACGTAATAGAAGAAACAAAGTGGGTTGGACCAGCTTGTGCCCCTGAACTACCTAAGAGAAAAGTCTAACTGTACAATAAAGGAAACAGATAACTAGATCATTGAAGACCTCTGGCTCAAAACTTTTAAAAAAAAAACTAAAATAACAAACGCCAACACTCCTCATTCATGCTGGGAGCGGATAATTAAGCAGTGTCCCCTACTCATAGGCAACTGTGCCCTCTTTTTCATTGCTTCTGCAGCCCCCACCTCTCTAATCAGAGTGCAGAGACAGAGAGAGAGAGAGAGAGAGAGAGAGCAGAAACACACCCACAAGCAACAGGCTGCAAGGTGTTGGTAGGGTCACACATGACATGAGCAGACACAACAAACCACTTTTTGCTATTTCCATTCCAGTCTGTGTAGATGCTCTGGAGCTACTTCAGAATTATTTCTTGTCAATAGTGAGTCCTCCTCAAGCAGTACAATATGCTGTCACTTTTATTGTTTGTGTGGATGTTTTCTAGAGAGATTTTTATAAATTGTCTATGGTGCAGACTGTGTTCATCCTACCTGGTTTATCTGCAGTGAAGTTTTTTATGGTAAATGTTATTCGTAAAAAGAAAACTGAATTTGCTGTATTACTGTTCATGTGAGTGTCTTAGATGTATGTAGATGTTTGACTGATTTACCTAACTGCTGTTATTTTTTCATACATTGCGTGTTGACTATTTCAGAAGTCTGTTTATCGATCAATCTTCATAGCCCTAGCTCACAACTTTTCAAAATAAAAGTTCTACGATTCCACTCAAACAACATGAAGGTTGTGCTTATAATCTGAAGAAAAAGAAAGTTGCCAAAAAGGAAGTGATTATATGAATGTTGTTGCCATTTTGTAGATCAGCAACCATCAAGGGTCAGTCCGTCTGTGTTTTTGTGTCTCAGTCTGATATGGTGAATTAAAAATAATCATATTATCAAAAGGATCTGGCATTGATTTTGCCCTGCGGTTTGATCCAGTTGCCCACCACATGATGAGGAAGCAGAAGAAATGTTAAACTCAGTCCACAGACTGAAATCACACAGCCCTGCCCCCCACTGACTGCTACAGAGCGCTGTTTGCCTGTTTATTCAATTTTTATTCATATTAAATGTATTGTTTTATGCACATCGCACCAAACTCAGCACTGCACTTCCTCAGTCAATTTACATTAGATGTATTAAGTGCAAAGTCAATTAGATGAACGTTTCACAAGGGATATGCATATAAATACAGAGAGACAGACACTTGTGGAATTAGTAGGAAGAAGAAGACTACTCCTCTTAACTTTATTATATTAAGTTGTGCAAATTCCCTTCTCAATGCTAAGTCTTTCAATGGAAAGTATTTCTCTCAGTGGAAAAGTTATCAACACAAACATTCCTTGTTCCTGGCTTCTGACATTCAGGTTAGACAAGAGCATGTAGGGCCATCACAGACTCTGCCCTTGCCAATGACAACAGGGAAAACATTCTGATATGGAAACTAGTGCTGGGACAAATGATGTCAGGGTAACAGCATGAAATGGAACATGTATGGCCGAAAGGTTTCAAGCATTGTAATCATCTTTTCCAGATCTCTTCTGGTCCTGTTCCACTGTTTACAGGTCATATGTACGTTTATTCTTGGAGTACACATGGTTATTGAAGAAGGATGGTTTCCATTCAGGTTCAAGTGTAACTTAAACCATTTTCGGTCATGTCTTCTCAGAGGAAATCCAGAGAATTAGGTCTGGACTTTCTTTCACACATTAACAATGCAGCAGGAGATTCTCCACACAGGCACGTTCACAACACAGAAACCTCCTAGCGTTCAGGTGAGGGGTGGTGCAGCAGGCAGACGCATGATGCAACGTATCGTTTCCACTGTGAAGATCCTGTAATTTTGTTTACAGCACATCAGATATTTGTTTTCTTTTCGTTTATTTTAATTTTTGCATCTGTCGCTTGTTGGAAAGGTCATCAACACACCCATTCACTTGCAGTGAATACTGCAGAGGACCTCTTCTCTGCCTTCGCTGCCCTCTCACATCGGCTCCTCTGAAAATTCTGCTGACTTCATACTAGGGGCCCAGGTGGAGAAAGTCAGCAGACACTTCAGAGGCTCTCACTCTGACATTTGCGTTCACACATAAACCTCCTCCGGATGGTTCCATCCAGAATTCTCTTTAATTTCCTCCGAAACAAACTCAGGACACGAGAATCCTTTGATGTCCCAGTATATTTTACACACAGGAAATTTGACCTCTGCTTAAACCCATCTGTAAAAAAAACATACACACACACCAGCACTGAGCGTACACATCTGGAGGAACTGTATTGCTCATCGGCACATCAGCTAAAAAAATTGTCTTAAAAAAGTTTAAACCATATCGCAGTGGAAAGTTCTTCCTGCTAAGATCAGACAGAAAGAAGACACTCTCCATGTTAAACAGTGGAGAAAGAAGAATAAACCAGAATTCAAACAATCCTTATATCTTGTACGTATGGAGAACACTTTTTATCTTCACTACCAGAACCACGATGAAGCCTGTACAGCATAAAAAGCTTCTTGTCTTGATGCTGATGGTGTGTGGTGGGAAGGGGCCCTCTGGTGGTTCAGCAGAGCCAAGTAAGCACTGAGTGTTAAATCTGCTCAATGAGACATAATGTGGGAGATCAGGTAAAGAAGTGCAGCAAACCCATGTGCTAGTTCTGCATGTTAGGGTGTTGGAGGTGTTGGGAGAATAGCACTCACACTCTGGGAGCTACATCCATCAGGTGAATGTATAAAATAGCACCAATGTAACTTCACACATTTCCCTCAACTGCAGTATTTCCGATCAACCTTTATGTTGGAATGTGCTTGATAATCTTGAATCTGCCTATTCATTCACCTGAGAGATATAAAAGGTCGGTATTGTCTCTGGGACATTGACACGATCCGGTGCCAGAGGTGGAACAATAGGAGAAAAGGGTGTGGAGAGATAATTTTACAATATCTTAATCACTGACCTACATCATGGATAAACAGCCAGCACATAGGTAAACAACTGGCTGCAAAGTTTTATTTTATTTGTCTTTGTCTATTAGGTTGTAAGCCTTATTTAGTTTTTGCCTCTTGACTATAGCTGATCCTGCTGAAGCCAAACAGAGCATATGGATGAGAAGACTGCAGCATAATGCAGCACACGAGGAGTGTCAAGACACCGATGTGGTATCTTAGCAACAGTACACAGCAGGATATCACTCCCTATCATTCCTTATACGAGAGTACAGAAAACCAAGCTCATTTTATACAGGAACATAGATTCTCTGCATGTTTTGACTGCAAATCACTCTGACAGTGATAAAAGCACAACGTTTGCATCTCATTACTAGCCTTACACATGGAGTCCTAATCCTTAATCCATAGGGGGTTGTCAAATTCAATGTATGCCGCAATAATAGCTCTGACTCAGTCTCGTTCACCTCGGAAGCTTTTCTTCCACACTACATCACAGGTTATATGATTTATATTCTGAGGGTTGCTGGAGAGATGGTTGGGACTGGAGGTCAGTGAGGCTGTAGATGACCCTGGTGGAGCAGAGAGATTCCAGCAGGCTGAAGCAGCAGAGACCATGCACGCTCTCACACTGTTCACCAGCTGCACCACTGAGCCAAGGAATATTGCCAGCAGGACCTCCAAGAGATACAAAACGTGCATTTTAAATGGGTGATCGAATGATCAGAAGAAAACATTATAGGCATTCTTCTGCCCCGATGATCACACTGAATTCCCATTTTGATTCATTTATTGGGTTAGACATTGATTTGTGTGGTGGCTGGCAGGTTGGTGATGATTTGGATTTCCCTGCACCAATCAGTAGCAAGAAATATCCTGATGATATTGCCAGTGGAGAGGGAAGCTGTTGCTGGGAACACTTTTCTCTGCCGTAAGAGAAATATACTGATTTATCAGTCGTAATGTTGCCTTACAACAACATGTGCAGCTGCAATAATCATGTGATGAATCGTCTCACATAGACTGTGTATAAAGATGGACACATGACGTCGTTGTGAACATTGTGACATTGTGAACTACATGTATATGTTTAATTAGCTTATTGTTCACTGGGACAACTGGACCGTGGGTCTGCCCAGGTGCAACTACAAGTTTGCGTCGCTGTAAATGTTCCTGCTGCAGTGAATTGTGGGATTGGATCTTCCCAGTGTTTCCTATGAAGGAGATAAGTTAGTAAACATTGAAGCCCCTTTCCTTATCATGTAGAGAATTCGAACCGGTCTTATCATGGCGGCCGCTGAAATAACCTCTAGGTCGTTTCACTCAGTAAGGAAGGTCCAAAGCAAAATGGACCAGATTCAAAAACATGCTTGGACTCTATGGAATGTACATGGATAAAATACTGGAAAGTACACAGAAGTCTGCAAAGAAATAATGGGAATATAGCTTTGTAGAAATTGGGCCAATAATATGATCGAATATAAATGCCTAGTTGCCTAATGATTATTTTGTAAGTGATAGCATGCTTTGAGTCTTTGAGTCATATATTTAGCAAATAATACCTTGCCATTTATTTTTCTTTATTGTTGCATGGCATGTAGACGAGAGAGAGAATTAAGTAGTTGATACTAGATTCCAGACATGCAGCAGATTCACGTTTCTGCTTGTTGGAGGTATAAATCACAACAATGAATGGTCTGTTTCTGTCTTCTCAGATCCTCAAACAGTACAACTGCAGCTACATACTCACAGATAAAGCATGTCAGTGCTGTACTACTTATACACTGTTTTCCGGAACTTTTTGCCAAAGGTGACTGGCACTGAATGGAAAACCTCAAGCATACAACAGACACATTTTATATCTGCTGTTGTTGGCTTAAAGCTGCACAGTTACAAACGAGGCAACACTTCCTGGATTCAAGCTGTTAAAGTTATTTTAGCAGTCAAGTGAATGCATTTGACGGCTTACAAAGAGCTCAACCTTTAGTAAATCTTAAAACCTGATCAACAGGAACTTTGTCCATGACTCCAAATGACCGTGGGATCAGATTAGACTTCTTTTGAAATGTGAGGCCTATAAATGTATATATATTCAGCAGTAAAATCATTTTTAAAAGCTAATCTTCCCTGCAGAGGAATTCATGTTTTCTTTTAAAAAGGACCAAAATGTTTGGTTTGCTTACATATTGGAATCGTCTTCACATTATTTCTGTAAATAACCAAAGAGCACAGTCATTTGAGTGATTGGGGAACTGTAGAGTATCGCTGCGTTGAAACACACATCTCTGGGACGCA